CTTGGCCCTGCTTGTTAAAAACAGAACAAGAGCTCTTTGCAGACAGAAATGCAATTAAACTTTGCATAAACAGTAAAAGTTCCAGCATCCCCATCACAATCCTGCTGGGTCTGTGGTCTGTACAGGCTTGTGATGATTGGAGCCCTTCAGCATGAATTTGAATTTGCAGATATAAAAGTCAAGAAGCTATTGTCTGAAGTTAAAGATTTCTGTTCTGATATTAGAACATCCCGAGATTTGTCTAACAGTAACTATCCCATCTTTATGGATTTTTGTGGCATAAATGTGGGAGGGAGGCTGTTCCAGTTCTGAGAACCTGTGTAATGCTTCTAAAGTCAACCTCTGGGAGCCTTGGCTGAGAGAAATGTTTGAATATAGACCCACTGAGCCCTTTCTAACTATCTCCAGGTTTAGTCTGCAAATTTGAAAAGCAGCTGTGAATTGCCATTAGCAGTATCACACACACTCTCACAGGTAACCAGAGTATACTGTTCTGTCCCTGAGTGATTATTAAAGGATTAAGGAGATAACTCCTCACTTACATTGTCATGCGTCAATATGACACATGGTTGAGACACCAGTAGAGCTCTCCTGTTGGGGGCTTCTGTCAGAGCCAGGGAGGTTGGACATTGCTGGGGAAACCAAGGAGGAAGTCCTGCTCTTCTCACGAGCTGTGCTTGGAAGATGGGTCGGTGCAATGGGCAGCTGAGCATCGTCTCCAGCAGCCAAGCTGGATGCTCTGCCGTGAGGCCAGCTCCTTCCCTCAGCATCGTTGCAGATGCCTTTCACCACCTGTCACCTCCATATTTTCATTGAGGAACCTGGTTTTCTGCTGCCATGTGGAGGGCACAGCCGTGTCATCTTAGGGAGCCAGGGCAGCTGGGTGGGCGGGTGGTCTGAGGGCCTGTATCGCTTTCTGCTCAGTGAGTGTGGAGGTTGGATGGACCATAGGAGACACGGGAGGGGCCTTGTTGGTAGATGGAAGGCTGGGTCCCTCTGAACTCGTCTCTCCTTATCTATCATCAATTAGTGGACCACGAGCACGTGGCTTTCTACATGTGAAAACCAGATTTCCTCTTTTTCTTCTCTTAATTTAGAAGTTATTTGGGGACTGAAAAATAACAGGCTGGGAGGTAGGATCTCTGACCACTGATCCCTGAGGTTCCCAGTCATATAGTTAGAATTAAAGAAAGCTGCTTTTCAGCGGTGTGAGAACCAGAAGCATGTTATCTCTAGTCGTCAAGTGCTCCAGTGTATTCATTCTTACGTTCATTCATTCTTTGAACTTTCACTCCAACATTTGCTGAGTGCAAATGACATTGAGCTGGGTGTTGTACAACTTCAGCATCTGAGTAGGACACAGGAGCTGGACTGAGCTGAATGCCTGCAAGAGCAGGAGATGAGAAACGAGTTAGTTCAAGGAAGCAGGGAATTTCCAACGCAGAGCTGAGCAGGAAGACCAGCTAGTAACCTGAAACGGTCATGGCCAAAACAGCTGTCCAAAACGGGTGGATAGTTGGCAAGAGTAACAGACTAAAATCCGGAGTGGGAGGGGGATGCAGTGAGATGGGACCCCTGGTGCTGATGGCTCCAAAACAGCAGATACTATCATGGAAGACGGGTGAATTACACTTCCCTCCCACCTGCCCCTTGTGCCTTGATTCCAGATTCTTAAGGAACCCATGTCGGCTGCTGGGAGCAAAAGCCATAGAGGGGTGCATGAGACAGGACCCACCTGTCAGGGAGCAGATGCAAAGGTGTCACAGTAGCTCTGGGGCAGTCACAGTGGAGGTGACACCTGATAGGTGGCTGGAAAGTTGGCCGCCATTTTTCTGTTGATTTTGAAAGTATTGGGAAATTGATCTAAGGAACAGTGGGTCATCTGGCTCAGAAGATATGAACCTGCTCTGATGAGAGTTCTTAATCTTTGAAATGCTCCTGTTGCATATGGACCTGATTGGCATCATGCCTGGGGCTGATAAGCACTTTAGACCTTTGACCCTGCACCTTCAACCAGACCCTACTTTTTCTGACCCGTCAGCAAGTGTTTCTTGAGCATCTCTTACATACAAAGGCCTTTTCAGTACTCACAAAAGATAGGTAACAGAGTTAAATACTTGGAGTCCTGATGTTTATTAAAATAAAATAGGGCACCATGTATCACTGCAATGGAAGAATGTTCTCTGGCTTCCTAACAGAAGCCCGCTGCTGGGCTTATAATCCTACAGTGACAGCATATGTGGGGAGTTTGAAAGGGAGGGGGAGAGGAGCTAACATAAATTTGGAAAGCACTTTGAAGTCATGCAGCTGTCACTGTTCCTATTTTTTAATCACCAGATGTATTGGAATCGTTATTTTTCCCAACTTCAAAGTGGAAGTGAGTACGTCTGCTGCCCAACACAAAGACTCAGTGGCTGCCACCAATGATGCAGCTACAGCATAACGTAAACACAAGTAAACCTGAGTAAAATGGAATGCAGTGAACTTACATTTTAGCTGCTTTTGTCTTACGTGGCTAATTAGAAATGTTGCTCATCATACATTGGCATCTATTATATTTTTGTTTGAAATATGGGGTCCCAGGGAGTTAATGGCTCAGCCATGGAGAATTAGATCATTTTGAAACATGAAATAAAGTCTATTTGGCAAGAGCACAGGTAGAGGAGATGAGAAGAATGAATGCAGTGTTTGAAATATTAAAGAGGTCATTTGAATGGTCCTCTTCTCTCCCTCTTGCTCTTCCCCTCAGGGATCTGATAAAGCATCCCTGCCGCACCCTCCTCCCTCTCACAGGTACTCTTTTTCTGGGCTAAGATCTAAGAAATTGCCCTTAAGGGTATGTGTCAGTTGGCTCAGGCGGCCATAACAAAGCACCTTAAACACGGCTTAAACAAGAGACATTCAGTGGCTCACAATCCTGGAGGCTGTAAGTCTGCGCTCACGGTGTTGGCACTTTCTCCTAATGCCTCTCTTCCGGGCGTGTAGACAGCCGTCTTCTCTGGGCATCTCTGTCCTCATCTCTTCTTATAAGGCACCAGTCAGATTGAATTAGGGCCCATCCTAGTGGCTTTGTTTTGCCTTAATCATCTCTTTAAAGACCTCCATCTCCAAACACAGTCACCTTCTGAGGTCCTGGAGATTAGGACTCCAACATGTGAATTTTGAGGAGACATAGTTCAGTCCAGAACAGGCTGGACACTCCTGGAACAGGGAGATGAGAAATGGGGAGCTGGACTCTCTGCTGATGGCCTGTGTTTAGGGGCTGATGCCGATTGTTATCTTCACAGAGATCTCCAGGCTCAGACCCTGGAAGAGTAGTTGTCGGTGCAGAGAGCTGCCCATGTGTTCCTCTCCTGGCATGTCTTTCTGTGTGCCTGGTGACGCCAGTGCTTGTATCTGTTTATCTACGTTAATCGCCACTGTAACTCAGAGGTAGGCATTGTCATTGTCACCCCCTTTTACAGGATGGGGAACCGAGGCATAGGAAGGTCAGTAACCGGTCGCAGGTGATCAGCTCTGAGACGCGGACCTGAGGACCAGTTGGGCAACTGCTGGCGGCCCAGCCCTCAGCCCCCGTGCACATTTCCACACACTTACTGGTCAGTGTGCCTAGGACTGAGGGTCTCCCGAGTCTAAGCACCGGCATTGGTCACGCTGGTTGCTGTGTTTGAAGCTTGCTTAGGAATTCAGATTAATATTCCTTGGCCTCAAGTCTCACTCAGTGTAATGTCCCTTAACATACACAGGCTCACTGACACAGAAGTCAGTCTTCACTTCTGGCGGATTGGGTACTTGCCAATCTGCCTACTTGTTAAAATTACCTGTACCCTCAAATGAGTACCTGTGGGCTTCTCGAGGTCTAGACATTTGCAGAACGGCTAAAATTTGAGTCCCCGATGCGTATGTTCCCAGCGGAGTCGACCGGCCACGCCCCGGCTTCTAGTTCAGCGCAGTCTGTAAACGGCGTCCTTTATGTGATCTCTTCGGTGCTCTGTTTTTTCTCATTCTTGTGCTTTATGTTAGTGATTTCACAGTTTAAACTGACCCTCACGTGTAGTGACAAGGTGGGCAGTGTACAGCGGAGAAAGGCCTTCCAGTACCTGCTCCCCTTTTAACAGCATAAAAGGTTGTGCTTTTGTCACGTGGAACTATAGAATCTCGACAAGTTTTTATCTAGTAAGGATTAACAAATCAAAATTAATAGTATAATACTCATTATTAGAACTTAGTACGTATAAAATGACATGAACGTTCTCACTTGACATGCTCTCCTTAATGTCTTATGTAATAAATACAAAATCATGCTTTCCCCATTTAAGTACTTAACTTTATCATCAAATAATGTTATGGGGAAGGCCTGCCGTACGTTTCATTGTGCAGAACACGGCACACCATTCACATTAGATGTAAACAGGTATTTTTTGAACGACTGGACTGTTCAGTATTATTCATGCTAAAACAAATAATAAAATAGCTACTATTTCCTAAATGTTCACCTTCTATCAAGAAAAATGTTCTAAGTACTTTACATATGTTAACTCATTTAATCTACCCAACAAGGAGGTAGTTGCCATTATTCCCATTTGATGGATGAAGAAACCAAGGTATAGAGATCAGGATGCTTCCAAGGTCTCAAGAATTTGCAGAACTGGGATTCAAACCCCAGGCTCTCTGTATCTAAAGCTTGAGCTCTTAACTGCCTCTACTATGACTGACAAGAAAATTACTCCTTTATGAACACATAACTTACAGTGTCTTTTTCCTTTGGCCAGTTGAAGACATTATTTTAATTAAAGTGCAACAGTGATTCATTGATGTGGCACCTGTCGTGATGTTATTATTGTAAAGATCATCTTTATGCTGAGATTTTTGTAGTAGTTTTTGATTCAGAATCTTTTTCTCTTCTTAGGATGTGGCATTTTTGAAACCTTATTGCTTACGTAGCCTTCAGAATAACTGTATCATGATAACCAGAAAACTTACAATTTGCTTCTTTACAGAAAATCACTCTGCACCTCCCGACGTAACCACTTACACCTCAGAACACTCAATACAAGTAGAAAGGCCGCAGGGCTCTACAACGTCAAGAACAGCCCCAAAGTATGGCAATGCCGAGCTCATGGAGACTGGCGACGGTATGTCTTCCAGCAAGTTTTTCCTCCTTTGTAAATTCTAAGTTCTGCTGACGTGCTTTCTGTGCCCTGACTGGATGTGTTTCTTCTAGTGACACAGTCGGCTCTTTGACTCATCAGGTTCTTTATGAGCCTTCCTAGAAGGTGGCATAGTTACAGGAAGTGCAAGCTATCTCCAAGGGGGCCAAGAGTTATTCCTTGTAGGAAAAATGTCAACGTTGTAGGAATTTTGTCATGAGAATAAAAAGATTTGATAAAATTCTTATGTTTTTGCTAATGAATAATGTTGATTCCATAATTAGAAAATTAGTGCAGGTGTTAAGACTGTGAATGGTTACTTGGAAGGGCAAGATGGAGCTAAACACAACCAAAATAATGCACAGAGATGGGCAGAATGGTGCTTTAGACTTTGGAAGAAAGATGGTCCTTTCTCCTCCATGTTGGAAAAAGTATTGGTGATTTGATAAATACAGCCATTCGGGTTCTCTCTTATTCCTTGAATCTTTCATCTTGGTATGCTCTGACATATTCCTGTTACCCATCCTAAAGTGACAGACTCGAACATGAATTTCATGCTTTATTCTGCTTTCCTTGACCTTCCAGAGTCATGAAAGTTAGACTGGACCCCGATGATGATACAAAGTGTTATTTTCTTGGAAGATGGCCAAAATAGCCTCTGTGTGCCATCCATCCCACTATGCTTGTGTCCGTGACACTGTGACTCGGGGGTGATGAGGCCTGGACCCAGCCTCTAACAGGCAGATGCCTCTTCACTGTGGTCAGAGCCCAAGGTCGCTAGGTTCTGAGTTCTCTGTTAGTATATTTGAAGTCACTGCAGTTTCCAGTATGATTGGTTTCCCTGGAATGCTTCTCAGTATCAAGGTTTGCTTTAGTCCTCTACTAAGTTCATTGTTTATTGAATTGGTCATTACTGTTATTCTTTTCATCACCATTTTAGTAACTTTGTTGTCTTTGAAGTTCATCATCTTCACCTGCTCCCCCAGGTAAATTCATCTATTGTCCAGTTCAGTGCTGTGATGGTGACTCGTACCAGAACCACATGGGGCACTTGTTGGAAAACAGATTCTGGGCCACATCCCAGACCTAACACATCAGAAGCTCTGGGCTGGGTCCTAGGATGATTTGTGTGTGTTCTAAATTAAGCTGGAGCACCAGTGGCCTTGTGAAATGATCTCTGATTCATCCAAACCAGATTAACTGGGACTCTTTAATGGGGAAATTTTGTGTTTAGATATTGAGAATTCTGGGTTGTATATTTTTAGGTATTTTCAAGATTGTAAAATATTTAATGTCTCAATTCTGAAAGTGCCCATAGAGTATTTTGAGACTATCTGTTAAAATGGTTTTTATTGGATAGAAAAATTTCCTTGAATTCTGTCATACTCGTTCCAAAAGCTGAGTTCTGTTCTTGTGACACTGTGACGTGGAGGAAGGGCTTTGCCTCGGTCAGTATGGGAAAGACCCTCTCTGGTCGTGGTTCTTCTGTCTGAGAACCGTGACGGTTCCAGGCCTTCATATTTACCAGGTTCAGGTTTCCAAGCACTGTTCAGCAGGAATGAAATCTGCCTGCAGAGAGTACATGTGATCCAGTTACGGATTCAGCCTCTTGGTGCTCCATTTTTTTCATTTATTTGGGTTATGTAAAATTTTTTAAATTTCATGCCTTTTTCATTGATCATTTCACTTATTCAGTTTTGAAAACGATGTCACATTTATTGTCATGAGAAATGTATTATACGGTTGGGTCTGTTTTTCTCAGTACACATGGATAAATATATGTAAGTTCTGTATTATATCAGAAACTGAATTTAGAGACTTTTAATTGCTGTGCTTCTAGAATGCATTGCCTAAATGTTCACTCAGGAGAGTGGGTCTGAAAGACATATAGGAGGGACCTGGCCATTACCTGCAAGAGGACAAGGCCTGCCAGCAGCACTTGTAGAACCTGAGTCCCCTTACTTTCAGGGGCGGCAGCTGGAGGCTGAGCACAGGTGGTCTCAGGGGAGATTGGGACTTGGGGAGGGTCTCACTGCTTAATCAGCTCTCTGACCCCCAAGGACACAGGGGACCCTGTGACGGTATTAATTAGGAGATGACAGACCCTGTTTTAGGAATAGAGGCGGGACCGAGCCCAGTCTATTGTCTGGAGTTTTTCCCAAGGTCACCAGAGCAGGACAGTTCACAGTGTAAAAGGGAATCATTTCTGCTACATCTTTATGCTCTCTTGAGTCTTCCTAGCAAGGTCACATGCTAAGACCGTCCACCTTGGAATGTTCTCGTTGAGCAGCAGTCATCTTAGGTGACACTGAGGGGCTCCCAGCCCTGAGATGGGGCAGGGTGTGCTGTCATGGCTGTTTTTACTGTAGCTGCTTGTTTACGCTGTTCCATGCTCACAGTCAGTCCATCTGCCCCATGGTTCTGTTTTTCAGGAGTGCCTGTAAGTAGCCGGGTATCAGCAAAAATCCAGCAGCTTGTCAACACCCTCAAACGACCCAAACGACCACCATTGCGGGAATTCTTCGTCGATGACTTTGAAGAACTGCTGGAAGGTGAAAGAGCCCATTCCTACTTGCTCGTCCAGTGTTTCTGTGACCCTATAGAGTATAGTGTTTTTCTACCAAGGCTGTTAGACTTTTTAAGAACAGTAATCTTGGTGTTCCTGGGAAGACAGGGATCCTGCCTAGAAACTGTAGGTACTATTTTCCAAGGTCCCTTTAAAGATACGCCAGTCCCAGGACAGTTGGGTTGATACCATTTGTGTGTCACTCTCAGCAAAATGCGATTTTGTCCCGTGAGCCAGGCCTCTTTCTGAGGACTCCTTGAGGCTACAGGAATGCTGGTGTTGATAAATCATAGGCAACCTGAGCTTGCAGCAGCGCGTTCTCTCTGAATAGGCTTTAGAGGAATGCAGAATGAGCCGTGGCAGATCTCACCTTCCTGCCTCTCGTGACAGCTTCAGGAGCTGGTGTTCTTAACCCCTGAACAGTCCTGAGCCTTTTAATACAAACAACTTAAAATTGAAACAAAGTACTGCTTGTTGTGTCAAACCCAAACTGCCTATTTTCTTGCTCTTTATACCACAAGTAAGACATAGCTGATTTTCTAGCCAGCAGGTGGAAATTGTGAATCATCAACTATAAGAGAAACCTTTCCCAGAAGTGAGAATAATCTCTCAGATTCTTACCTATCTAAAGAGTTGGGCAAATTGTTTTTATTATGGGGCGTTTATTTTTGTTATACGTAAGAAAATATGTGCTGTGCTAGTTATTCATAGTAGCTGTAGCAAATTCAAATTTACATCTCAGTATTTAAGGGAAAAATACAATTCAGCAAGATTTGAGCTCTTTGGAGTCTATAATTACTAGTGTATGTCGATAACCGATGTTTTAAACATGGCAGTCCTAGACTCTAGGCATGTTAAAATGCATAGTTTTACTTGTCAGTTTATAAATGCATTCAGGTCTCCCTAAGTTCCACACCCTGACTTTGCCTTGGAAATTGTAAGAATTAAGTGCTTTTGTTACATCCATGAGGCTCATGTGTCAGTCATAGCTCTAATTCTAGAAAAACACCTGTGCATGTTTCCTGTCCTCTAATAAATGTCTAACTCCAGTGTAAATCTTCTAGCTTCCTTAAAAGGAATAAAAAAGTGATTGTGCTAATATGGATGTGTTTTTCTTGAAAACCTTTTGTGTTCAAATGTATTTAGTTCAACAACCAGATCCAAACCAGCCAAAGCCAGAGGGAGCCCAAATGTTGGCGATGCGTGGGGAACAGCTGGGTGTGGTTACAAATTGGCCCCCATCTTTAGAAGCAGCGTTACAGCGATGGGGGACCATCTCACCAAAGGCCCCATGCTTGACCACGATGGACACGAATGGGAAACCTCTGTACATCCTCACTTACGGTAATCCTGTGAGACTTATCCACCTTTTGTTTGTTTGTACCTCCACACAACTGTCACTTCCAGGGTGGCCGATTCATATTTGTGTTGCCTTATGTTTCTAATACAGAAATAAATGGAACCTGAAAGGAATATTATAGGAAAATTATTTGGTTTGAATATGAAAAGTTACTATTTGTTAAGTGTTTTTGAGTAAAAACCAGAAAGTGATATAAAAAATGAGTGATTATAACTCTAATAAGATGTTAGATTTTACCTCTTGGAATGTATATTAATTAAATTAATGCTTTCAAGAAGGATTGGTAGTTAAAGAATGTATATCAGAACTCTTTGACATGCGTCACTCACTTAGAAGAAACAGAATCTGTTTCCAAAGTGCTTTTTCAGAAAGCAAGAGAAAACAAACTTTTCTTTAATTCTTTATTCAGTACCATTAATGCAGTCCATAAACTTGGAAATAGTTAACTGTACCAGAGAGATTCCTTTCTCTTTGCGCCACGGATAAGAGGCGGAGAAAGCAAATTTTCAGGTCATTTTCACACTCTCTGTTACAGTTTTGCAAAGAAACCAGCTTCATAACAAAAACACCAAAATGGCTTATGTTATGTCTGCATGTGTGAGGTTAGATTACCTTTTTCTGACTTTCAGTTTTGTTTTTATGATGATAATGCTCTTCTAATTGCAGGTAGGAGAGAAAGTGTTTTCTCCATTAGCAATGGAGGTCAAGAGCCAGGTGTTAAGTATTATAGCCCAGCCTTTTAGTGGGTGTGGGGCCCGTGGGGCACCCACTGTGCCTCAGTCATTATCCTGTGCATCTCATGGAAGGAAATGGGATTTAGGAGCGTATGTTTTCACAGTCTCATTTTTTTTTTTCTGGTTTTGTTGGGAAATTCTGAGTGGAGTGGAGAGAGGGTATTTCACCCATCATGAGGCATAAGATTCATGTTTTTAAAAGTTATACTCTTGGAAATAGATTTTAGTCAGTCAAAAAGACAGAGGACTTTCCTGTCTGACCTTCATCTCTTGCCAGATTCAGCCATGGAGCTGATTGTGTACTGTTTTCCAAGCATCATTTATTGAAAGACTGTCCTTTCCCCTTTCTTGGCTCCTTTGTCATAAATTAGTTGACATACATGCGTGGGTTTATTTTGGGGCTATTCTGTTTCATTGATCTTTGTGTCTGTTTTTGTGCCAGTATCATACAGTTTTTCATTACTGGTAGTTTTGTAATGTCAAGGAGTATGACGTTTCTAGCTTTGTTTTTCTTTCTCAAGATGGCTTTGGCTATTTGGGGTCCTTCATGGTTTCATACAAATTTTAGAATTGTTTGTTCTATTTCTGTGAAAAATGCCATTGGAATTTTGATAAGGATTGCGTTGAATCTATAGATTGCTTTGAGTAGTACAGACATTTTAACAATATTAATTCTTCTGATCCACGAGCAGAGAATATCTTTCTATTTATTTGTGTCATCTTTAATTTCTTTCATTAAAGTCATACTTTTTAACGTACAGGTCTTTTACCTCCTTGATTAAATTCATTCCTAGGTATTTTATTCCTTTTGATGCAGTTGTAAATGGGATTGTTTTCTTGATTTCTCTTTCTGATAGATTTTTATTAGTGTATAGACAGAACAGTTTTCTGTGTATTGATTTTGTATCTGCTACTTTACTGAATTCATTTATTACTCTGTTTTTCTGTATAGTCTTTTAGTTTGTCTATATATAATGTTATGTTATCTGCAAGTAGTGACAGTTTTTCTTCTTCTTTCCAGTTTGGATGCTTTTTATTTCTTTTTCTTGCCTTATTATTCTGACTAGGACTTACAATGCTATGTCGAATAAGCATGGCAAAAGTGTCTTGTTCCTGAATCTTAGAGGAAAAGCTTCCAGCTTTTTACTGTTGAGTATGCTGTTAGCTCTGAGCTTGTAAACATATGACTTTTATTTTGTTAGTAAACATATGACTTATATTTTGTTGAGAATTTTGATCATAAATGGATGTTGAATTTTGTCAAATGTTTTTTCTGCATCTGCTGAGATGATCATATGATTTTTATCCTTCATTATGTTATTAATGTGCTGTTTCACATTCATTGATTTGCGGATGTTGAACCATCCTTGCATCTCTGGAATAAATCCCACTTGATCATGGTGTATGAGCATTTTAACATATTATTAAATTTGGTTTGCTAATGTTTTGTTGAAGATTTGTGCATCTGTGTTCTTCAGGCCTGTAATTTTCTTTTCTCATGGGGTCCTTGTCTTGTTTTGATATCAGGGTAATGCAGGCCTTGTAAAATGAGTTTGGAAGTGTTTTCTCAACTTCTGTTTTTTTGGAAGAACTTGAGAAGGATTGGTATTAATTCTTCTTTGAATGTTTGGTAGAATACACCAGTGAAGCTATTTAGTCCTGGACTTTTGTTTGTGGAGAGGGTTTTGGTTACTGATTCAATCTCCTTACTAGTAAACGGTCTGTTTAGATTTTCTGTTTTTTCATCGTTCAGTCTTGGAAGGTTGTATGTTTCTAGGAATTTATTTCTTTGAGGTTGTCCAGTTTGTTGGTATGTAATTGTTCATAGTAATCTCTTATGATCATTTGTATTTCTTTAATACCAATTGTAATGTCTCTCATTTCTGATTTTATTTATGCGTCCTCTTTTTTCCCTGGGTGAGTCTAGCCAAAGGTTCGTTAATTTTGTTTATCTTTTTAAAGAACCAGCTCTTGATTTCATTGATCTTTTCTATTGTCTTTTTAATCTCTATTTCATTTATTTCCGCTCTGATCTTTGTCATGTTCTTCCTTCTACTAACTTTGGGCCTCATTTGTTCTTCTCTTTCTAGTTACTTGAGATGTAAAGTTAGGTTGAGATTTTTCTTGTTTCTCGAGATAGACGTTTATCTGTGAACTTCCCTCTTAGAATTGCTTTTGCTATATCCCATAAGTTTTAGTATGTTATATTTTCATTTGTCTCAAGGTGTTTTTTACTTTCTCTTTTGATTTCTTTGTTTCGTTGGTTGTTGGATAGCATGTTTTTTAATCTCCACATACATGTAAATTTATCAGTTCTCATAATCGATTTCTAGTTAGATAACATTGTGGTCAGAAAAAATGCTCAATATGATTTCAGTCTTCTTAAATTTAAGACTCGTTTTGTGGCCTAAGATATGATCTATCCTGGAGAATGTTCCATGTGAGCTTGAGAAGAATGTTTATTCTGCTGCTTTTCGATAGAGTGTTCTTTATATATCTATTAAATCTATCTGGTGTAATGTGTAATTTAAGGCTGATGTTTCCTTATTGATTTTCTGTCTGGCTGGTCTGTTCATTGATGTAAATGCGGTATTAAAATCCCCTACTCTTATTATATTGCTGTTGTTTCCCTCTTTATGCCTGTTAATGTTTGCTTTATATATTTAGGTGCTTCTATATTGGGTGCGTAAATATATCCAAATGTTATATTTGCTTGTTGGATTTACCCTTTATCATTACATAATGTCCTTTGTCTCGTTACATTCTTGGTTTTAAAGTTGATTTTATCTGTTATAAGTATAGCTACCCCAGCTTTCTTTTAGTTTACATTTACATGGAATATCTTTTTCTATCTGTTCACTTTCATTTTGTGTGTGTCTTTATACTTGAAGTGAGTCTATTGTAGAAGTATGTAGATGAGTCTTGTGTTGTTGGGTTTTTTTTAATTCATTCACCCTCTGTGTCTTTGGATTGGAGAATTTAGTCTGTTTACATTTAAAGTAGTTATTGATAGGTATGACCTTATTGCCATTTTTTAAATTTCTTTCTGGCTCTTTTGTAGTTCCTCTGTTCATTTAGTCTTCTCTTACTCTCTTCCTTTGTGGTTTGATGACTTTCTTTAGTGGTGTGCTTAGATTTCTTTCACATTATTTTTTGTGTATCTACTATAGGTTTCTGCTTGATGGTTACCATGAGGCTTACATATAACATATTTATAATAGTCTGTTTTAAGTTGATTAAAAACTTAAGTGTGAGTACATTCTCAAGCCCTGCATTTTTAGTCTTCCCCTGTTTTATGTTTTTGATGTCACATTTTACATCTTTTTATCTTGTGTATTCCTGAACTGACTGTTGTAGTTATTTTTACTACTTTTGTCTTTCAACCTAATACTAGGTTTATAAGTGATTAATCTACTACCTTTACTAAATATTTACCTTTACCAGTGAGACACATATTTTCTTGTTACAAATTAGTGCCCTTTCTTTTCAGCTTAAATAAGTTCCTTTAACACTTTTTTTGTAAGGCTGCTTTCGTGGTGATGAACTCCTTTAGCTTTTTGCTTGTCTGGAGAACTTTATCTGTCCTTCAGTTCTTCTCTTTTTTTTTTTTTTTTTTTGTGGTATGCGGGCCTCTCACTGTTGTGGCCTCTCCCGTTGCGGAGCACAGGCTCCGGACGCGCAGGCTCAGGGGCCATGGCTCACAGGCCCAGCCGCTCCGTGGCATGTGGGATCTTCCCGGACCGGGGCACGAACCCGTGTCCCCTGCATCAGCAGGCGGACTCTCAACCACTGCGCCACCAGGGAAACCCTGTCCTTCAATTCTGAATGATAATTTTGGCCAGGAGAGTATTCTTGGTTGGAAATTTTTTTTTCTTTCTCCTTTCTAAATCAGTCAAGAACTGTTTTATCTTCTTTAATTTAAATCATCAATTTACTCTTTATTTTGTTCTATTTGAAAATATTTCTAGAACTTGCCAGAAGTTTGTTGTTTCCTTTTTCAAACTCTCTGTTGTAAATTGGCTTTTGTATGAATTTATGATGATCTCGACTTTAATATTCCAAACTGAGAATGAAGTTGAAACTTTAACAAAATATAATGGTGCTAATTGTCTGATTGTAATTGATTTGTTTGTTTACAGTTGTTGATTTTTTCACTTACAACAGGTTGATTGTAATTGTTTATTTAACTATAATAATTTCCTAACATTGTTCACATTAAATAAATCTGAAGGCACAAAATATTTGTGATTTCTTTAGGAAAAAAATAACTCCTTGCATTATTTCTAATGGCTAGTGACTATTTGGGGCAAAAATATAATCATCAAATAATTGTAAAGTAGCCAGTCTTGAGGAGGTGGAGTTAAGGAAGGTGGAAGAGGGGCATGAATAAAACATCACACCTAGTAGCTACTCTCAGTGATCAAGAAGTAGGCTAAAATGTAGACTGCAATTTTGTTTTTTATAGCTTGCTTTATTATGATGTTAATAAAACAAAGAAACATTTGTTGAGCACATACTATGAGCGAGGAATGTCCTAGGAATTATAGGAATCAGAGATAATGGAAAAATCCTCCTTGTCCCCCTAATCACTAAGGAAGAGACAAATTGATAAATCCATTGATAGGGAAACAGTAAGAACCCTAGTTTGGGTTGCTGCAAAATCCAATATGAAATAAAACAAATTCAGATTTTTTCATTTCATAATTTCATTTCATAATTAAAGTGTATATTAATTTAGCTTTTATATTTAAAATAGGAAAAAGATTAGAGCAGTGATTGCATTTATAGGAACTAGTTCAAATTGTTGTTATCTTTATTATACTATTATTGCATTAATATAATTTCTAACACCTTGACTGCTTCTGAAAGCTTATAGAAGCTAAAGTTGTAAAAGGCCTTTATGTGTCCAAGAATTCATGTTAGATTTTAAAGTCATTTTGGTTTGATCTCAGACTGTTTGCTATCACCTGGGTATGCTGAGGAAATGTCTGGCACTGGAATGAAGGCAGGGATTTGAATCTGCAAGTTCTTCAAAACTGGTTATTTTTCTCATGTTTTTTTAATCTTTTTAATCCTGCTTTGTGGTGATTTTTTCTAGAGTTCAAAACTTTAAAATAATTCAAAAATTTTACCATAATTTTTATCTAAATTCAGGGATTAGGATTCCAAAATCCTAAAAGTTAGGAAAAGTTGAAGTTGAGAAACTTAGGATGTGGGGAAGGAGAGGGATCAGGCACTACAAAGCCTGTCTTAAGTGCCCTTTACATTCATTGCAATCACACAAGACAGGACTCATTAATAGAGGAAATAGGTGTCATTTTGCACAACATAAATTAGCATTAACTCACTAATGCCTTGGCCCCTGCCCTATTTTACTCCCTAGAAATCCTCCCGACTTCTGTGATGGTAATTAAATTCTGTGTGGCTTTCCTCTAGGTTCTTAGCATCCTAGGTGTATTTGTATTTAATACCTTATTCCAGTGTTCAGACTTCTCAGATTTTTAAGTCAGATTTGCTGGCTTTTGTTTCCCATCTTGATTCCAGGGGCTCGGAATAACTTGAAAGGCTTAAAGTGAAAAAGTAATACTCTCTATATAGGTTAATGTGCACACATATACACAACAGTAAATGCGTGTGTACAATTAATTGTGTCTTTATAATTTGTATTGATAGGCAAACTGTGGACAAGAAGTATGAAGGTTGCTTACAACATTCTGCATAAATTAGGTACAAAACAAGAACCTATGGTGCGACCTGGAGATAGGGTAAGTGCAATTTAAATTATCACATCTGCAAGACACATGGTCTGAGGTGGAGAAGACACCCACTGTTTTAAAGTTGCAAAGTTCAGTGCCTCCATACTACTAAATCAGGCTTTCTTAACATTTACTGTGAACCAGAAGCAGTTATTCAGCAGGATCTTCACAGTAACTCAGCGAGTTTAACTATAGTAGTTCTCACATTTTATCCATGAGGATATTAGGACTTGAGAGGGTAAGAATCATATCAGCTGAAGGCACATAGCTAGAAAGTGGTATAGCCAGTGCTCGTATCCATTTCTGTCCAACCACAAAACCTGTGTTCCTAACCCCTGACATATGTGGTCTCCTAGTTTGGAATGTGCTTGCACTGTCTCCCTAAGTAGGCAGGACAATTGTGTTTAGAACTTTTTTATATTAGTCAGTGATATCGAAAATCCTGGCAGCAAACTGCTGGTATGTTCCTTTCCTAGTGTTAAATTTCTTGATATAGGCTACTGTCTTTCATTGAAAAGCACAATTTTATTCTTACTACAATCTGCTAAGTTACTGAAAACAGATATTAGTATTTCCTTTTTAATGTTACACCCAGAGCAGTTAATAATCTTGCCCAAGCTTTACACCCCAATTAAGATGTGGGGCTGAGAGTAGAACCTAGTTTTCTTGCCTTAAATGGAGTGATTTTTTTTCCCATATGGTGCTATTTACCTCAGAATGCCCCAAGACTGGGTTACCCACCTGCACCCAAAGGACTCCAAATTAATTTTATAAAAATATCATTTTAGAGCACCATAAACCAACAAGAATATAAGCTATGATTTACATAAGAGGCGTTATAAAAACATGGGCCCATTATGGGGAATTTTTAATAAGACTGCTGCAGCCCCAGGATTCTGTGGTAGGCTATGATTCTTTCCAGTTTAATGAACAAGTTTGATATTTAGCTTTTAAAAGTCAATTATAGGTCTCACACTTCCTCATTATAAAACTTACCGTAAAGCTACAGCAATCAAAGCTGTGTGGTATTAACGCAAAGACAGATATAGACCAAAGGAATAGAATAGAAAACCCAGAAATAAATCCTTACATGTAGGGTCAAGGGACTTTCAAGAAGGATGCTAAGACATTAAATGGGGGAAAGGATAGTCTACTCAACAAATGGTGCTTGAAAAATTGGATATCCATAAGCAAAAACCCAAAATTGAACCTTTATACCATATATTAAAAAATTAACTCAAAATGGATTAAAGACCTAAACTCTTAGAATAAAACATAGGGGAAATGTTTCATGAGTTTGGATTTGGCAATGGTTTCTTGGATATGGCACCAAAAGCACAGGGAACAAAAAAGTTGATAAATTGCACTTCATCAAAATTAAAAAATTCTGGGCTTCCCTGGTGGCGCAGTGGTTAAGAATCCGCCTACCAATGCAGGGGACCACGGGTTCAAGCCCTGGTCTGGGAAGATCTCACATGCCACAGAGCAACTAAGCCCGTGTGCCACAACTACTGAAGCCCGTGAGCATAGAGCCTGTGCTCTGCAACAAGAGAAGCCACCGCAATGAGAAGCTCACGCACCACAACAGAGTAGCCCCCGCTTGCTGCAACTAAAACCCACGCACAGCAACGAAGACCCAACGCAGCCAAAAATAAATAAAATAAATGTATAAAATTAAAAATTCTGTGTACCAAAGGACACTTTTGAGAGTGAAAAAGAAACATACAGAATGGGAGAAAATGTTTACAAATCATATATCTGATAAAATATTAGTATCCAGAATATATAAAGAAGTTCTACAACTCAACAACAACAACCAAAAAAAAAAGTTTAAAAATCAGGCAAAGGACTTGAATAGACCTTTTTCCAGGGAAGATTTACAAATAGCCAAATAAGCCCATGAATCACTAATCATTAGGGAAATATACGTCAAAACCACATGAGCTACCACTTCACACTCATTAGGATGGCTGCTATCAAAACAGAAAATAGTAGGTGATGACAAGAATGTGAAGAAATTGGAACCCTTGTGCATTGCTGGTAGGAATATACAGTGGTGTAGCCACTGTGGAAAACAGTACTGTGGTGGTTCCTTAAAAAATTAAACATCTGATCTGATAATTCCAGTTCAGTTTCAAAAGAATTGAAAGCAAGGACTTGAACAGATATATCTACACCAATGTTCATAGCAGCACTATTCACGAAAACCAAAAGGAGGAAGCAACTCAAGCATCCATGGTCGGTGAATGAATAAGCAGAAGGTGGTATGTTCGTATGGTGTAATACTATTCAGCCTTAAAAAGGAGGGAAATTCTGACACATTCTACAACATGGATGTACCTTGAGGACATTATGCTCAGTAAAATAAGCCAGTCACAAACGATAAATACTGTATGGTTCCATTTATATGAGGTACTTAGAGTACTTAAATTCCTAGAGACAGAAGAACGATCGTTACCAGGGGCTGTGGGAAGCGGCTTCAGTTATTGTTTAATAGGGACAGAGTTACAGTTTAGGAAAATGAAAATGTTCTGGAAATGGATGGTTGATGATGGTTTTACAACAGTGTAAATGTACTTAATGCCACTGAACTGTATACTTGAAAATGGTCAAGATGGTGAACTTTGTTACATTTATTTTATCACGATAAAAAAAAGTCAGTTGTAATATATCTCCCTTATCTATAATTTGGTTAATAGTCTTAGTAGTTTTTTTAAAAAAGTCTTTGGCCTTCAGACTCTTGAAGTTCCTTTACAATAGCAATTACAAAATAAACCATCTCTGTTCTGCTAAGAAGTCAGTAGGAATGTGGGGGGCAAGTTTTGATAGAACAAAATATGTAAAAAGATTTTCTTTAGCAGGGAGTGGTTTGAATTGTATGAGGTGGGACTACTTTTCTAAATTATTCCTTTAAAAAGTTTTCATATGGCTGGCACCTGGCATGTGCGTATAAATACTTATTAAATAAGCATATGGAACTGTAGTATTCAATTGATAATAGCCTTCTGTCACAATAAACAGGATTCTTTACCTCTTTGAAAATCATTTTTAATTAAATATAATTTTCCGAGGATAATGAACATTCTGTCCTTAGCATAAAAATTATAGACGCTTTTCATGTGGGTGACCCTATTAATGCACTTTGGGGAGTCCTGCTTGGGCTTTGAAAAGGCATTTATGTGCCTAAGCTGAATAGGTTTTCAGGATATTATAGTGGGAGCTGTGGAACAAACAAAGATGCATCATATGTGAAGCCTGCCTTCAGGGAGCTTGCAGAGTTAAAAAAAAAAAATAAAGACATTGATAATTGGCTATCTGTAAATTGGAAAATGATACAGGTCCCCAAAATAGGTGGTGAGAGATACAGCTGAACTCTTTGGGAAGGACAGAGAATATTCTCATTTTGGGAGCTTCTGGCATCTGAGAAGACTTCTTGAGGAGAAAAAGCAAGCCCGTGGCTCTTGGTCAGGTTGTAGGACAGAGTGTGGAAAGGAGCTGAGGGGGGATTGTGTGGTATGTGGACAGAACAAGCCGGGCACTGGGACAGCAAGGCTGTTACAGGAAGACCAGCGGAGGAGAGTGGAGGAAGGAGGTGGTCTGTTGACGCTCTGTGCATAGTTAAGTGTGATGAAATATCAGAGAATACATAGGGAATTGAATGAAAAGAAACGATGTGGGTTTATGAAAATGAAGCATCTGTATATTTGTACAGTATTGCACTGGAATCACTGTGTAGTCACCAAAAAGCAGGACTTGTGACTGATTGAGATACAGAAGGAAAGTTTGGTGAGAATGATACAAATACAGTCTTCCCTTCCTTAAAACAAATTTTTTAAAAATTCAATTTTGATTCTAAATGAGCCTTTAGCTATTTGACCATTTTCTATTTGTTACTTTTATATTTTTGAGAGCAGATAATGCACAATTTTATATTCTGCTTTTATCCACTTTACATTAATATAACATTTCATCCTGTTTTAACCCAACTCTGCAAGGTTATATAATATGGCATTATCAGCATGAACTTTAGTGATCGAGCAGTGGGAATTTTAAATCCTGGATCAGGTTGCCCTCCCTTGAAACAGAGCTGGGATAGGAGCCAGACCAGAAGCTCCTCTTTGGAAATATGTTGATCCACAGTCTGGCTCTGGAAGCAGCACCTTCTTTCTCTCGGTTCTATGCTCTTGAAGACTCCTGCGTGTGGAATAGTTTAGTCCTAGGAGGACTAACAAGTCCAAATTTAACTAGTCCTCTATGAGTGGGTGCAGCCATTAGTTTTGGGTGGAACTTCAACATCTTCTGCATTTTATTAACATCCTCTGTTTTGGTTCAAGGAGAGCAGTCTTGCAGCAGTGGTGCCTTGGAAGCTTTGCAAACATTTGATTGAATGGTGTTGCTTTGCCAGATCCAGAACTAAAAATAGATGCTGTCAACTCTCTGACCACCAGTTGAAGGCAGACACCTGAGGCCAGTGCAAACCTCAGATCATTTTTAAAATAATTGTTTGTGGTTCATATACAGAGACATGCAAATAAATCCTTTTATTCCTCCTTTGAAATCCTACTGATAGTAGTCTGGCATCTGTCTGGGTGCTTTTGGGACAAAATAAGGATTAATATCTAATCAACAGTTATTTCACAGGGTTTCTTAAAATTCTTCAGTAGTGCAGAATGGCTTTTATTGGCCTTAACGGTTTCATTTGTCTCTGTTTGGCTGATTTTAGTAAACTGCAGGAATACCATATAGAAAGGCAATCTTCACATAATTCCAAACTTAATTTTATTTCCATCAACTATCCTGTGTTGCTAACAGAGCCAAATTTAAGATGCAGCGTGCTCCATCCTCAGCTGTCATCTGAGTCCTTTATGCCAACCTGCTTACTTAGATATTGAGGTAATTAGGATGTCTTATCCAACTGTTCATGACAAAGTTAATAACTTCTAGTTAGGGCATTTTTAAAGAAAAAAATGTGTTAAATTCCTGAATGAGGTAATACAAAAATCATATACATCTGCTGAATCATGGGATTTATGTGCTTAATCATCAACAAGGAAGAGCAGTGCCGATGCTGGAGCAACACTTGGGAGAAGCTTGTGTTAAAGTGGAAGCAGAGTCCTGCAGAGCTCAGTGGGGATCCAGAAATAGGACTGCCTGTTGTATCCTGAAGGCAGCTTCTAGAGCTAGAGTAGGAAGGGCCACTCCAGAAGGAGCATCGGGCAACAGGAGAGCAAGCGGATCGACATTGCGGTAGCTCCACAGCAAGATGCTAACCTGAGCGCCAGGTGGATGTAAATGGGATGAAGCTGACAACATAAAGGAGAAACTTGACAAGTTTGCATGCAACATTAAATACACTAATAAAAATAAAACAGAATATTGTATCGAGAAGTCTGCATCAAATGTAAGAGTTAATACTATGAAGTATATTTAAAGATTTTATGGGAAATGTCAAAACACCAGCAGATAAATAAACAAAGGAAATGAAACACAGTTCATACAAGGACGAATAATTATAAGCCATCTGATGGAAAATTGTTCTTCATTAAGATTCCCTTCAGGACTATCAGAAAACATTTGAAAAATCATACTGTCCATTATTGGATTATTAGGGTAGTAATTTAAATTTACCTTTTAGAACTCCATGATTATTGTACTCCTGGTTCTTCAGAGGCTGAGCTGGAGAGGCAATGGGCGGCTGGAGATGTGTGGCCAGGTGTTCACGGAAACCTTCCCTGGGAGGGCAGAAAGCCAGATGCCGCAGGTGCGGGCTGACCGAGTGCCGGCTCCCAGGGCCGGGGCCTCGTGGGCAGTTGTGGTTCATGGCTACCTGCTGTGTGTCAGGCACGGTGTGAGCTCTTGCATACATTTTCTCATTTGACCTTTACTACAACGCTAGGACACTAATATTCTCAATTTTCAGGTAAGTCAAGGCTTGGGGAGCTAAATCTGAGCTGGGATCAGAGTAGAGTCAGCTGTGAGCCCAGCACCTTAGGGAGGAAGTGCACAGCGTTCAGTTACGATGGTGAAGACTCTGTGGACGTACGAGGACGCACTTCAGAGCCCAGTGAGAATAGTGAGAGACAGATAGTGTATGCACTGTGGTTTCACCTGTGTAAAAATATGTGCCGATGGGGGAGTGTAAACAGCAAGGGTAGTTGCATTCTGGTGCGGTGTCAGAGATGACCTGGATAATCTGTTTGCCTTCCATGTGAGATCAAGGAAAAGCATCTGATAACTTATTAAGATGCATCTTACTAATATGCATTTTTCAAGCAGGGCATCTAAATTTTTTCCAGTGGCATCGTGTTAGTGGTTAACCCCTCTCTCTCTGTGTTGGTCCAGGTGGCACTGGTGTTCCCCAACAATGACCCTGCTGCCTCCATGGTGGCTTTCTACGGCTGCCTGCTGGCCGAAGTTGTGCCTGTGCCCATCGAGGTGCCCCTCACGAGAAAGGTAAATAACGTATCTTTCTGTTCAAACCTGTTGGCCGGGAAGGTCGGCTCTGCTGCCCTGGAAGGTTCTGTCATGGGGTCAGAATGTGCAGACGGCCATCTTCAAGAGCTTTCATCTCAGCAGGATGTGGATCAGGAAGCACAGGGCTGTTTGCCTTGTCTCTGAGGCTCTGCGCAGGTTGTCGTTGGTTGTCCCAGACAAGGGAGTAGCACTGACGCTGCAGCTCCACTCAGTGGCCGGATTGAGCTGCTGCCCTGAGGTGGCACCTTCTGTGCGTTGAGCAGGGTGATCTACCAGCAAAGCAGGCGTTCCAGTATCTCATTCCTCAGTGTCACTGCACTAGAAATCTGGGTAAATGATAGATTTTTCACTTATTTTTATTTCAGGGGTGGCCGTTGTTGCATCTGTGCAGGTGTTTGGACATTAACAAGTTCCAGGTTCACCTACGATTTGTTGGATCTTATTCTATGATTAGAATAAATAACTATCTTGCTGTTACAGTTGTAGTGTAGTCCAGTGTCGGAACCCTACACAGCAGTGTGTGTGTCTTTGTCCGCGTAAATGATTGGCTTCTTGCACCACAGACCTGTGGTAACTTTGGAAGGGAAGGCAGAGGGAGGAGGCTGTGCTGGGGTTGACCCTGATGGTCCCCCGAGAGGTGCTCTGATGCTGTCGAAGGAGATGGGGCCGACGGCTGTGGGATAGGTGCCCTGCCACTGGTTGTGTTATGTGTCGTGCCCTTGGGCTCCACCCTGGATTCACCGGGCCGTCACTTAGCACATCATCATGAGCAGAGTGTGTGGGGTGACTCTTCCAGCTCCAAAATGCTAAGGTTTTCATGTGCCCAGGCTCAGAGTTTCCAGAGAATCTTCCAGCTGTCTTTGTGGCTACTCATTATGAAAATGGGGAAGTGCCTCAAGGTCTGTTCACGGTGTGTGGGTACCTTTGAAACTCTGCTCCTTGGGTCGGAAGGAGAGAACGTGGGCATCCTTTAGAAAAAGGTTGGGGAATGGTTACTGTTTCCGTTTTCCTGGGTACAAAATCTGCAAGTTCCCTCCTGGGCCTCCTAGGCACCTGCGAGTGTCAGGCGGGGTGGCAGGTGGCCCTGGAAGGGGGGTGAGCCCTGCAGCCACTGACATCAGAGCCCCCACCAGTGGCCTGAGGAGAACGCTGATTTCTGCGAGGGTTTGCCTCTAGCATTCCTGGTGTACCATACACACCCCATAAAGTGCTTCCTCATCTTCCTGAGCCCTATGACCTTCACAACTGACGAGAAATGCAGAAGGGTTTGGGGATTTACTGAGCAGGTAGCCACGTTCTCCTATGTGATGCTTTGGTGCTGTGACTAACCTGGAAAGCCTCTCAAGGGATGTGTTATGCTCCTCTTTAACTGATATCTAATTCAGTGGGTTGAGGTCCTCTGGAAATAGAAAAGAAAACCCTCTGGATTCTCTAGTCAATGGCATCAGGATGCTAATTTGGAGAAATTCATAGCCTAATGAGTGAAGAGACTGATTCTCTGTCAGCACTGCACCAAGCAGACTCCAGAACATTTGGTATTGTTGTTATGAGTAGCAGTTATTGTTTACTCATCACATATCGAATTTAGATTTGTCTACTCTACATCTATAGCCTGGTGTCTTCCAGACCAGGTCTGCTTTGCAGAGGAAAATCATTTGAATGAAGAGGCACCTGTCTCTGCCACTTCCTGACCAGGCATTGTCGAGCGGGGCCAGGGTGTCTCACCTGCAACTCCTCTGGGTCTCCTGACACGTGCTTGCCAGCCGTCTCAGGCGTTGCAGGCTGTGACCTGCCAGGTGGCTCTGTCTCACTCACCTCTCAGACCCATTCAGACTCTCATATTGTACCATGTACCTCAGGACCAGGAACCCTCTCTCAGAAGAAAAAGCTGAGGTTTCTTCTTGGCCCTCTCTCCCTCGGAACATTTCTGAGGGGAACAGAACCAGCAGATGACTCACAGGTTATTGTTAAACCAGAAGCTGTGCGTTGGGCCTCAGTCTGTGGTTTCAGAATGTAATGTTCATTCTTAGAAAACTTTACTTTTTTTTTTTTTTGCGGTACGCGGGCCTCTCATTGTTGTGGCCTCTCCCATTGAGGAGCACAGGCTCCAGACACACAGACTTAGCGGCCATGGCTCACGGGCCCAGCCGCTCCGCGGCATGTGGGATCTTCCCAGACCAGGGCACGAACCCATGTCCCCTGCATCGGCAGGCGGACTCTCAACCACTGCGCCACCAGGGAAGCCCAACTTTACTTAATTTTAAATAAAAGAATCCACTGGCTCAGTTACCATTCAGCACAGGGTAAGATGTGCACAGGGGTGTAGGGGATGAAGTTTGTGAATCCTCTATCCACCAGTCCTATGCACGCTAGCCTTGTCTTAAAATAAAGGGCCTAATGAGAACCAAATTTTCAGAATCATCAGTGTTGATTAGCCTCACTGAATGATTTAGTCCCATGTGTATTTATTTATTCTCTGTTCTAGTTCTTGGGGTGTGGGGAGAAGGCTCATTTTTCACTTGAAGAGTTCATAGTGGGAGAAATGGGTGTCCCTCCAATGGTTTGGCCACGGAGTAGGCAGGGGCAAGAGAGGAGCCTCCAGAAGTCTGTGCCGCGATGGGCAGGTCTGGACAGTGGCTGTCCTCCTCTCCCTCTTGAGGTGGCTGAGCTGGTCTGTGAAGGCCAGGTGCCAGCAAAGTGGGCCTGTGGACTGGCGGAGACCACTAAGCTGCATTTCCCTTCTGCCAGCGTGGGAAGTAGCAAGGCTGTAGCGGGGGTGGAATTCTGCATATCCTAAGTGCCATAGGGCCAGAGACCAAGTGGGCCCCGGAGGCCACAGGAGTCCAGCCAGGCAAGGCCTGGCCCATCAGCACTGCCTCTGGGCTCAGGGGGGGCTCACTGTCCTGCATGATGCAAACTGTTCTTTCCTTAGAATCTAGCACATGCCCCACTTGTTTGCTTTAACCAAGGTTTCAGATGTCCTGTTAAAATGAAACATCTCTGGAAGGAAAAACATAGACGTCTTGTCACATACTTACAATCTCACGTGAACCATCACATGATCCTTCCCTTGGGAGTGCATTTTGCTGGAAGAAATCAGAGGGAGTTGGGGTGGGGAGGGAGGGAAATGGGGCAGCCCGAGGGTGACACCCACCCAACGGAAGTGTTTGTGGATAGAAGGTTATGCCCCACGTCTGGGATTTGTTTTAAAATAACAAATCTGCATGTGTGCATGTGTTTGAGGTTGAGAGATGAGAACACATTTGCCAACGTTGATAATTGTTGGTGCTGGATGACAGGAACGTAGGATTTCTTTCTCCTTTTCTTTGTATCTTTGTGTCTGCTTGGAAATTTCCAGTATAAATAAAAAGTTAAAAATTAACTGGCAAAACAACAATACATTAATGACATGTTTCTTTTAGTATTGATAAGGAAAATTCCTTGGTCAGGTTTCTTGGATCCCCTGGTTGTATGACCATAATAATCTTTAAACTAATGGGTCTGCAGCCTGTCTTGTGTTGACTCTGCAGAGGAATGCACCGAGAGCCCCTCCCTCAGTTTCACCTGCATTGTTGTCTCTCCTCCTGAGGCAGCTGAGAAGCCAGCGGTTTGGGTAGGCAAGCATCAAAATTGGAAAAGCACCAGCTGGTCGTTGCAGGTCCACAAATCCGGAACGAGTTCACGAGAGACGCTTTCTGTGAACTCACCTCACATTTACTGGAGAGAGAGTCCTTCTCATGGGTACGGCTGATGCTTTCTGACCTGGAGACTGAGACGGGACGGGGTGGGGCTGGTCGAGGGCGCATTTACTGCTTGAGAAGTGACTTGTCAGAGACCGTGGGTGTGGAGAGATTGCCGGGGAAGGGACATGCTTCGTCAGCTCTCTATGTTGGAGAAAGATTGAAAGTGAGGGAAAGGTTTGAACTCAGGTGTGGGTCAGCTTTTCTTGCACAGCAAAAGAGAGTCATTTGTGAGATTTTGTGGTCCTGGACAGCTCAACTCTACAGAGGAAGGGCCCCTGAGCCCAGCCGCAGGCCAGAAACAGCCATTCCAGGGAAAAGCACTCAGGAAACACGGGAGGCGGTGTCAGGGCCTGAGTGCTCTGGCCGTCAGGGCAGTGGTTCACGTGCCTCCTCAGTAGCTTCCTGTGGAGCCTTTCTGAACAGTGGTATGGGGTGTCGGGGGGCTCCCAAGTATCGGGGCTCAGGGCCCTGTCCCCAGGTCCAGGAGAGATGGCCCATGGAGGCCACAGATGGCTCTGTGGGCTCTGCCAGAGGCTCTGGGGTCAAGCTGGGCTTAATTTCAGGGATCCCGGTGCATGAAGGAGACAGAGCGCTCTGAGAGCAGGTGGAGGGGTCTCATCTCAGCCCAATGGGGTTCTTGGGTGGGGCTGTTTCTGCGAAGCTGGCTTTTGGCTGGACCTCTGAGTAGGAATTTCCAGACCAAGAAGATGGAGGAGGAGCAGGCATGGAAGCTGAATTTCATGGTAACCATGGATTCTGTTTACGGTTACTCTCAACCCTTCCTCTGTATTTTAGGGTCTTTAGGAGCAGATACTAGGAAGACAGGGCCCAGGGGACAGCGGACCTCCACAGTGGACCCTGACAGGTCTTGCAGTTGGCCCTGGTGCTCCCTCTCCTGAGCCATTCTGAGCCTGTCTGTAGGCGCTCCCAGCAAGTTCACGCTCCTAAAGAAACGCCCTTCTGCTCCTAAACCTGGCTTCAGAACCCATCTCCCCACCCCTTTACCCGGTCACAGCTTTTGGCCATGTGATACCCAAATTCACATTGAAGTGACTGATTATAATTCTCCTTGAAAAAGCACTGCTTGAAGGAACAATCCCACAGGGTCCCCGAAATGGGAAGGTCTCCATCCGCGGAGCACCAGGCCTCCTCCCCCTTGTCGGGGCTGCAAGGGTGTTGGGAGGCTGGCTGTGCGTGATGCTGTGTAAAGAGATGCGGCTTTTAAATCTGCAGTGAGGAGTAGGAACTAGGCACTTGGAAGACGTAGTTTTGAGATGTCGATGTTGCCGATTTTACTGGGGTGAGAATGTTGTCTCACGTGGGAAGGAAGGAGGTGACAGCCTCACCACAGTCCTGACGTTTCCCTTCTAGGAATGCCGGCTGCTTCACGGCTTTATTTTCTGAATCATAGCTGGTGGGAGTAAGGAAAGCGAATTGAACTGACTGGCAGGGTGGCTGGACACTCAGGGTGGTGGCGTCCGGGGCTGCCCCTCCCGCAGCATCTGCTCCCAAGTCCTGGCAGTCAGTCCGTGGGGCGGCGCCCCGCCACGCACACGCCCTGACTCTGTGGTCGGCATGGGTGTCCAGTCCATCACGCCGGATGTGATCAAAGACCGCTTGGGGTTAGTGTCCTGAGTGCAGAGATGTGTTCTTGGACCCGCTCTGTGTCCTGAGGTCACGGTCCTGTACAACCAGAGGGGAACAGAATGAGACCCCCTGAGCGCAGCACGCTCTGTGCTCCCCGTGTGCATCCCTTACAGCCAGCCAAGGACACGGCGCAGGTGACGAGACTGAGGCCAAGCTAGTGGCCTGTTCAAGGTCAGGCAGCTGGCAAGCGGCAGCCTGAGATCTGACCCCAGCTGTGTAGACACCAGCCCGTGCCCTGGCACTCTGGTTGAACCTCTCCTCAGGGAGGTTGGTGCCATCCCAGGGCCCAAGGGCGAGACCGTGTTTTTTTAGGAGAGTGGCCATCACCTCTGCTCGTGACCCTTCTCTCCTTGCTGCCGTCTCCCAGGACGCAGGAAGCCAGCAGATCGGGTTCTTGCTTGGAAGCTGTGGAGTGACTGTAGCCTTGACGAGTGACGCTTGCCACAAAGGGCTGCCGAAGAGCCCGACGGGGGAGATCCCACAGTTCAAAGGTGAGCCTCAGTGCCGGGCGGGGAGGATGTGCTCCGAGGCATCTTGCCAACACACCGTCCACACACGAGGTTTCAGATCACACCCCACATGCTCTCAGCCTGCACGTGATGTGCTGTAACTGCAGGAGGCTTACAGCACCTTAGCCGTGGCCTTAGACTTGGTGGAAACACCAGAGGTTTGGTCTGGCTTGTGCTGTTGTGAAGCATGCCACCAACGGGAAGGTGGTGTCACACCTGTCTTCTGGGGGATGCTTGCCTGAAAAGAATTTGTCCTTTATTTCCAAGGTTGGCCAAAGCTATTATGGTTTGTCACAGAGTCAAAACATCTCTCTAAACCTCCTCGAGATTGGTTCCCGCACATTAAGGACGCAAATAATGACACTGCGTATATCGAGGTGAGTTGCTGGGTCTGGACGAGGTTGGGGAACTGAGTGACACGCACTGCAACCCTTACACAGCTCAGGGTCAGAGGTGGATGTGGGCCCGGAGCTCTACCCTCTCAGCACCTTCTCATTGCAGTACAAGACGTGCAAGGATGGGAGCGTGCTCGGGGTGACCGTGACGAGGATCGCGCTTCTGACCCACTGCCAGGCCCTCACACAGGCGTGTGGCTACACAGAAGGTATGGGCAGACCATTCCCGGGGGACCCAGACCCCAGCCCCATGGAGATGAGTGTTGTTCCCACTAGTCGCTCAGAGAGTCGTGCGGCTCCACCGAAGGTCTGTGTGTTGGATTGTTTAGTTGGCGTCTCAGTCTGCTCTGGCAGCCAAAACAGACGCCACAGACTGGGGCTTAAACAACAGATGTTGACGTCTCACAGTCTGGAGGCTGAAGTCTGAAATCCAGTGCCAGAGGGTTGGTTCCTGGGAGACCCCCTTCCAGGCCCGCGGACGGCACCTTCTGGCTGTGTCTTCATACGGCCTCACCTCTCTGTGCAGAGGGAGCTCTGGTGTGTCGTCTTCTTCTTATAAGGACACCATTCTTATTGGATCAGGCCCCACCCTATGACTTTACCTAACTTTAATTATCTCCTTAGAGCCCCATCTCCAGGCACATTTATACTTGGCATTAGGGCTTCAACATAGGAATTTGGGAGAAAACAGTCTAGGCCATAACAGATAGTTGACACCACTGATGTATATTCGTTCCTGGCTGCACAGTGGAACCTCTTTGGGAGCTTTAAAAAAGTGCGCATGCTACAGTGCACCCCCCTCCCCGCAACTGGCTTGGATTCTGGGGCTGCATTTCACAGTCAAAGGGTTGGTTTCCATGATGTGCTTTCTTTGCCCTGTTTGGGGTTGTCCTAGAGGCACAGAGTTAGGGTCACTGGAGGTAACCATGTTGACAGCGCTGACGGGCTCATGGTAGGAAGGATCAGACCCCACGTACCCACAGCTCCCTCCGCTGGAGTGTCTGCCATCAGGTCCCCGCACTAGCCACGTCGCAGGCACCTGCCACACTGGAGTCTCTTCCCAGTACCCAAGCGTCTGTCACGAGCCATGGATGAGACACTTTTCTCTTTCTGCTGTTCTCATTTGCTTTCTCTCTCTCCCCATCCTTCTGGCAGTCTCCCTTTTTAAGACCAGTTCACTTGTCTCGTGGAGATGTTCCACTGATGTTTGGTCCCTGGACAAGTTTCCCAGACATTGTCACACGTGGAGACACACTGCCTCTAATGATCACCACCCTGTTTGTCACTGTTTTCAGTTTTCTAGTTTTTCTCACAACCTCATGACCTGTATTCCTTGCCCTAATTTCCTAAAGGTCCAGGGCCATCACTCTTGCAGGGATTGGGGAAGATAGATACATACTTGCTTCCTGATTCTCCACTTTTAAAAATCTTGCATAAGATAGAATACAGGCTGTGTATTTTGAATGTCCCTTTTTGAAAGGGGGTGAGGCACTCGGTACTGAAGCTTTGGCGAGCATTCTAGTGGCAGGTTTGCTGAAAATTGCCTCCTCCTGCAAGTACACAGCATTTCCCTCTCTTGGGAGAACATGTGATGGAAATGAAAAGAATCTTTTAAGAAAGAAAAGGCAGGGAGAGGGAAAACAAATATTGGGTTGGCCAAATAGTTCATTAAAACCCAAACTAACTTTTTGGCCAACCCAGTATATAAAAGGAGAAGGAATAAGGCGTTTTAAGTGATGCTGTGAAGAGCTATTGCTGTTAAGTTGTGTATCAGAATACTCATCTAGAAACACTTCCCAGGCAGGCCAGCATTTTAAATGGGTCTGATTGGAGGCTGCAGCATTTCTGTAAAGACAGTGAAATGATGTTTTTCTAAGACCCATTACTTCCCACTGATGTGGTATTGGATTTTTTTTGTCCTTTGGTCTGTGACCGTCTTTTGTTAAAATCTTTGACTCTTTATTTTATAGCTGAAACAATTGTGAATGTGTTGGATTTCAAGAAAGACGTTGGGCTTTGGCACGGAATCCTAACAGTAAGTGAGACGCCCCTTGCTCTGCAGTGTCCTGTTTAACTTTGAATGTGCTCAGTGTTGGGATTAGAATGATGATCTGTGTACACAGCGGCTTGGGTAAGCCCCTTCCTCCTACATTATAAAGAAAAGTTACCATTTTTAGAAGTCTTAAGTTAATGTAACTTCCAGGAGCTCAGCAGACCAGCGGGTCAGTGGCTGCTTGCCTGCATCGTGGGCCCACGCTCTGAGGCTGCGGCTGTGAGAGAGAGCGGCCTTTTTAGGCTCAGGGAAGTTCAGGATCTTTCTTCCCACGGTTGGCATTTCAGATTGTGCAGAAACGTTGATGTCTTGCATTTGGGTCACTTTGCCCATACATATGATTTGGCTACAAAATTCTTTTTATCTTTCTGTGAATCATCGTTTAATGAATGTTTCGGGAATTATGCTGCAGGGGGAAAAGTACTTTGAGAGTTCCCCTTGGCCAAAAATTCAACACGAGTTGCAGAGAATGTATGTCTCATTTTTGTTAGTGCCACTTGAGAAGTGATGGCCATTCAAAGCTGTAGGCACTTTTAATAGAGGGATAACCTTATTATTAAGATATGCTTAGCATCACTGCTTCGAATCTCCCTGTGTCTGTTTCATATGTGATGATTTCCACTCACCTGTTTTTCTTTTTAAGTTTCTTATGCTGAAACCGTATATCTTTTTAGAAGCAAAAAACTCTAGTAGTTTTACATGAGTGATAGGAACATAACTATAAAAAGAGGGATTTGTTGTTTCTTGATAAACCAGAATTTATGCAGACAAAGGTTTGGGGCTCCGGCCCAGCCAGCTTCCTTCTTTTACCGCCTGGACACTAGTCGGTGAGACAGAAACACAGCCCCACACATGCATTACCCGTGGGCTGCTGGTGTCATGGGAAGAGCACAGCCTCAGAGAACCCAGGTTGGATGTTGGTCCTTCCTTCTGTAGCTTGTGACTCTGGGCACGTCCCCTGCTCCTGTGCCCAAGAATCGTCTGTTGCCTGAGTCACTCTGCACCTGTTTTCCTTATGTGTCCAATGGGAATGTTGACCGTGTGAGAACCACGTAGTTTAACGTTCAGTGAGTGCCTGGCCCATCTACTTGCTTGATGACCGTTGCCATGAGTTCTCTCGTGACAGTCTTGCTTTCAAGAGCTGTGTGATAGATCTTGTTGACGTGGTCACCCGCCTGCTCACTGATGCTGTGGATTACTGCCTCCGGAACTGGTGGTTTCTGAGTTTGTCTCTGGCTGCCACCTTCTAGAGCAAGACAGGTCTCTGGCTAGGCAGCACGCATTCTTCCAAAGCATTTTATCTTCTTTATGGTGGAAGATGCTCCCACCCCCAGTATGGAATGGGGAGCAAGCGCCAGGTGAGGGAGGTGAATGCTAGCGGTGAGCAGGCTCGCCCGTGTGGGGGAGGGTGCACGTGGTCATCTTCCTGCAGAGCTTCTGAGCTAGACCAGCGCTCTGCAGAGTGTCCGTGCCCTCTCTCTCCCCCTCCACCCACAGCGGGGGCAGAGCCGACCAGGGGGGATCTTGTCCAGTGCTCCCCGTGTTGTGGTCCCTTCCTGCCAGGTCTGTGCGTGCAGCCACTCAGATGTGTGAGTCCCAGCTGCAATGTGTGAGGACTGACCATTTACTTAAAAAGTTAGTTTTTGTCATCCATTTTAAAGAAAGAAACCTTTTACAGGTCCTGGTCTACATGAGCCAGGCTAGATGGAAGAGTGAGGGTGTTAAGACAACTTTCCACCGCTCCTTAGATTTCAGTGTAACATTTAATAAAGGAAGTTAATTTTGTGAATAAAAATGAGTAGAATACACCAGAGAGAATTAAGCTTCAAGACTGAAAGGCCAATAAAAAAGTGATCATTCAACTTAAGTTTTTATAAGAAAAGGATTTGGATTTAGATTTTTTTTTATATCTTTATTGGAGTATAATTGCTTTACAATGGTGTGTTAGTTTCTGCTGTGTAACAGAGTGAATCAGCTATACATATACATACATCCCCATATCTCCTCCCTCTTGCATCTCCCTCCCACCCTCCCTATCCCACTCCTCTGGGTGGACACAAAGCACCGAGCTGATCTCCCTGTGCTATGCGGCTGCTTCCCACTGGCTGTTTTACATTTGGTAGTGTATATATATCCATGCCACTCTCTCACTTCGTCCCAGCTCACCCTTCCCCCTCCCCGTGTCCTCAAGTCCATTCTCTAGTAGGTCTGCATCTTTATTCCTGTCCTGCCCCTAGGTTCTTCAGAACCTTTTTTTTTGTTTTTTTAGATTCCATGTATATGTGTTAGCATACGGTATTTGTTTTTCTCTTTCTGACTTACTTCACTCTGTATGACAGGCTCTAGGTCTATCCACCTCATTACAAATAGCTCAATTTCGTTTCTTTTTATGGATGAGTAATATTCCATTGTATATATGTGCCACACTTCTTTATCCATTCATCTGTCGATGGACACTTAGGTTGCTTCCATTGGACTTAGATTCTTGAGTTGTATCAGTAGAAGCAGGAGTCGGGAGGACTAGACAAGCTTTGAGAAGTCGCCTCCACTCCCACAGCCTCTTAAAGGATCATCCCCAGTGAGATGCCCGTGTGGTCCCCACCCTCCCACCAGGGAGCCCCTGGCAGCAGGGTGAGTCCCACATGGAGCCCTCCCCCACTCACTGCCCAGTGTCCTGCTTTCAGAGCGTCATGAACATGATGCACGTGATCAGCATCCCGTACTCGCTGATGAAGGTGAACCCGCTGTCCTGGATTCAGAAGGTCTGCCAGTACAAAGGTGCGTTGCGGAGGCTGCCCCTTTAATGTCACGCCATCCTGCGGCACAGGCGGTGACTCACTTCCCCCCTGCTTCTCCTTCAGCAAAAGTGGCCTGTGTCAAATCCAGGGACATGCACTGGGCATTGGTGGCACACAGGGATCAGAGAGACATCAACCTCTCCTCTCTCCGGATGCTGATAGTGGCCGACGGCGCAAATCCCTGTAAGTGACAGCACCAGGCAGTCAGGAGGGGGCCTCATTCTCCAGGTTTCATTCTCTGGGGTTTGATTTTTCCCTTTTCTAGTCTTTACCTTAGTGAAGAAGTGGCCTTAAGATAATAGCCAAACAGTATTACTCAGCGTAGCCTACGGGCACCAGGGCCTGAAGGTCCAGACACAGCCCTAGGGTTGAGTCCTAGCCCTTCCACTTCCTGATTCTGAAGAGAACATATCTTACTTGTTAAAATTCTTCTCCTTTTGTTAGCTGCAAGATGGTACCAGTCATCAGATTTTATGAGGATTAAATGAAGCAATCCCTGTGTACAGTTCCTTGGGATATAATAAGTGCTCAAGAAATATTAACTATTATTATTTTATGGTCCATAGTAGTTTTATTGATCAGGAAATTTGATTTGTCATTTTTAATGGAATTTTATTATCAAATCCTGTAGCAGAAATTACCTAGGTAAAATAAATTAGCAGTTCCACAGAATACTGTTAATATACCTTGAGAAATATTTCAGTCAGTTAAAACAAAAACCCAGCTAGCTTGTTTTTTATGAGAAGAGTATATAAGCGAGAAGCAAAGTGAATGAAGTGAATTGAATGAACAATGTATGTTTCTGACCACATTTGTAAACTCTGCAGCATATATATTTGTAAATTAAAGCAGTATATACTTTCTTAAAGAACATCTGATATGCAAAAGTGGACTTGCAAACAGGTGATTTTGTATTAGTTTTATAAATGATTCTTCCATTTACAAAATAACTCCATAAATTGTGGGCTGTTTAGTACACAATTGATTTTGCCCATAACTCTTCAGAGTAGTATGTCTTACAGGAAGCAAGGTAAACTTGTATTAGGAGCTAGTTTAGCTGATAGGTTCCTAGTAATTATATTTTGATCTCATCACTCATATTAACATAGAGAAATGTTTTCTTCATTTAGTTGGGTTTAGATTTACTTATTTCTTGGAACATGCATGTTGAAAATGGTAGAACATGTCTCAGAAAAGTTATTAAAGTTAAGTTCTTCAGTCAGCAAAAAGGTTTTAAGTATAGAAGTTGCATTTTTTAAATTCTTGAGTTCTGTGTTTGAGAATTAATATTATCTTTCATTGTAACACGAGTGATAAGTTATATATTAAATAAAGTGTTTTTCCATGCTGCCTAAGTCCCCATGTGCCTAGATCCTAACTTCAAAAGCATTTTATATTACGAGATACTTTTAATTGTCCACATTGCTTCGCCTGTCTGATTATCATCCCCCTTTTCCCTCTAGGGTCTATTTCTTCCTGTGACGCGTTTCTCAACGTCTTCCAAAGTAAAGGTCTACGCCAGGAGGTCATCTGTCCATGCGCCAGCTCACCAGAGGCTCTCACCGTGGCCATCAGGAGGTACTGCTGTGTTAACTCAAGTGGGCAGCCTGGGGAGGGGTCTCATTCAGCAGCTAACAGAGACCCGGAGCCATCGCAGTTCATCTTAGTGTGAGAATAAAAACAGGACCCAGATTTTCCAGACGAGGTTTTATTCTAGTGTATTCTAGAATGGATTCTCTTAAATATAGTCTAGATTCGTTAGTTAGAAACTCACTTTTCACTCTGAAGGTTCGCTGTAATTCCCGAGTGAGTGGAAGTCTGTCCACAGGCACGCTGAGCAGTGAACCTTGTCCTGTCAGGTTATGCACATGTTCATTTGCTTGTATTAGGCTCAGGTTTAACTTGAGGATAGAACAGAGTAAATGTTGGATGAAACGAAATTTTTGTGGCCACCCCTGTGCCCTTGGACATGCGGGTTTTATGTCATCTTCATTTTCTGCAATACTGCACATACTGCACTTTAAAAACTGGTTTTCTGAGCTTTTGAGCAGCTCAGCAGCACATCAGAGAGTTCTGGGGCCTGGAATCTCCCGCTGTGTGGGGCTGGGCTTCTGGGGCTCTTACTAAGGCCAGCAAGCACAGTGAGTGCCCTTGGTCCTAGGTCGCTCCTGCAACACTGCCTGCTTCAGAGCCACTGGGGCCTGTCAGGGACAGGCCGTGGTATGGCTCATAAGAGCTCACCCTGCCCAGGGTGAGAAGGGCTAGAGCAGCCTGTCTGACCGTCAGCAGCTCCCAGTAATCCACACTAACCTGAGAAAGGAGGGTTTGCATCACCCAGACGTTTGCAGCCTATACATGACTAATTCGCCAGCATCTTTGGGTTCTGCCTCTAAGTATGTTTTATTTCGTGTCACACCAGTGTGCTCTGTTGTAGCAGTGGATGACAGAGCTTTCGGTGCACAAAGTGCATGAGTTCTGCTCTTTTTACTGAAAGGTTGGGATTCGCAAAAATATTCATGTAAAGGTTGCCCTTAAAGAGACACCTTCTGATGCTTTTAGGAGTTTGTTAATGTGAAATTAACCAGGCCGCCTAACAGGTTGAGAAATTGAAAACCTTTAAAGTATCAGAAGCAACTTTTTTAAAATAAATAAATAAATTTATTTATTTATTTATTTTTGGCTATGTTGGGTCTTCGTTGTTGTGTGCAGACTTTCTCTAGTTGCGGCAAGCAGGGGCTACTCTTCGGTGCAGTGCGCAGGCTTCTCATTGCGGTGGCTTCTTTTGTTGCGAAGCATGGGCTCTAGGCGCGAGGGCTTCAGTAGTTGTGGCCCGTGGGCTTGGTAGTTGTGGCACTCAGGCTCAGTAATTGTGGCTCGCAGGCTCTAGAGCACAGGCTCAGTAGTTGTGGTGCACAGACTTAGCTGCTCCACGGCATGTGGATCTTCCTGGACCGGGGCCCAAACCTGTGTCCCCTGCGTTGGCAGGTGGATTCTTAACCACTGTGCCACCAGGGAAGTCCCCAGAAGCCACTTTTAATTTTGAGTGAATCAGAAATTAAAAGTCTGTAACATAATTTAAATTGATGAGGAAATATGGCACCATTAACCAGAATCCAGTCTTCATTTTTTAAAGGATGACATTGTCATCCCCAAAAGAGAAGGTTTGCAACAAATAATCTTCTGAGATTTATGTCCGACCTTGGAGTACAAAACACATCAGGATTGCAATAGCAGATTTGCCATCACGTTGTCCTGCAGAAATCAGTATTCAAATATGTGTCTAATTTGACTCTAAGGGGACTCAGCCTCCGGAAGCATGTTGGGGCCAGGAGTCCCAGTTTGAGCCCCGCCCACTGGTGGCTGGCCCCACGATCCTGGGCACATTCCTTCTCTCCAGGGCCTCGGTTTCCTCCACCAAGAAACAAGGGGCTTGGACTCAGTAATCTCTCAATTTCCTTCTACCTGTAAATTTTTAAGATTCCACAGTTCTGTGAAGTAGTACCATTGCCAGAGATGATTCACAGAATGAATGATTCATTCATGTAGGCTTGTTATGATCAAATGATTTGCTCATTTGCTTTTCCTAAAAGTGTTTTCTCTGTGCCTTTAAGATATGTTGTATAGATTATGCCAGAGTTGATTGGCAGAGGGGGAAGGGATGAGCAAAGGAGGTTTTTTTTTGAAGATGACATGAAAAATAATGATATTTAATTTGTTCAAATTCAGATTTTTGTTGTTTGATTTACATTCTTATAAGGTACATAAGAACATACTCAATAGAGCTGACCATAACCTGCTACTCCATAGAGCTGTAGTTCCCAGCCAAGGCAATTTAGAAATGCTGGCAAGACCTCATTTTAACACAGCCTCCTGACTGACGTCTGAGAATGTCATATGAATGAAATGCCGCTTATTTAAGTTAAAAAGTAGGACTTGAGAATTGGCATTTCTTACAGCTTTAGACAAAAAAAGAAAAAATGATGTTTATAGGTGCTGCCTCATATCTGACTCATACCTAGCTGATATAAGTGCAATCCACGCTGTTAACAGTCTGTGCAAAAAGCTTTCAAACTTGTAAAAACTATCTTCATATGGGAGTAACCATTTATAACATTGTATCAGTTATATTTTCCTAATAAGTTTTTTAACCTTTAAAAAACTTCAAGTTATTTTTTAGGGACAAGGATAGTCCTAGGGAGGACAAGTGAAGAAAAAGTAGGCTTCTTAGTTTCAAACGGTGGACAAGTGAATTATTGTTCTTACAGGAAAAAAAGATCTTCTAAACCTTCTTCATGATCTTCCAGTTGTGGCTGCTGTTATTCAGTCTGTCAGGTTACGTGCCATTATCAAGAAGCCAATACTGTCAGCTCATTAGCATCAAATAAGCTAATAAATAGTGTGAGATCTCCATTAGTTTATGGAATGTTATCCCTGCCCTTCAGTAATAAATGATGTGCATGAATTGAATGAGACCCAACATCAGGTCTTATTTTCTTCAAATAAATTTTCTTTTTTAAGAGGACTTCATCTGTGGGCCAAAGTAATGAATGGAATTTTTATTGTCTGGTGGTAAAGCTCTTATTTTCAGAGAAAAAGTAAGACGCATATACTGCACTTACATGTAGTCAACCTAGAGCTTTAGTGCTAGAAGGATGTTCATCTGGTTTCATTTTATACATGAAGAAAAAGAGGTGCTTTTCTAGTCTAATAAATAGTTCCAAACAGACAAAATATAGACAATAGAAGATTCAGGGCTTTGGCAATCTGGTTTATATAAGCAGGGTATTGACAAGTTTCAGTAGAAAGCACTCCAGAAAGCAAGGTAAACCTGAGGGCTTCAGCCTGTTCTCAGACCAGCACGTGTGCCTCTGCTATGTGGATCAGCAGGCAGGAAGAAGCAAAGGATTTTTAATTGTTTCTCTAAACATGTTTTAAAATCTTTTATAAAATCTTTCTTTAAAAAGATTAAAAGTTTATTAACAAAACTAGGCAAATTAGCCAGGAAATAAACCCATGCACCTTTGGTCAGTTAATCTATGACAAAGGAAGCAAGAATATACAATGGAGAAAAGACAGTCTCTTCAATAAGTGGTGCTGGGAAAATTGGACAGCTACATGTAAAAGAATGAAATTAGAACATTCTCTAACACCATATACAAAAATAAACTCAAAATGGATTAAAGACCTAAATGTAACACCAGATACTATAAAACTCCTAGAGGAAAACATGGGCAGAACATTCTTTGATATAAATCGCAGCAATACCTTTTTGGATCCATCTCCTAGAGTAGTGGAAATAAAACAAAAATAAGCAAATGGGACCTAATGAAACTTAAAAGCTTTGGCACAGCAAAGGAAGCCATAAACAAGACAAAAAGACAACCTACTGACTGGGAGAAAATATCTGCAAATGATGCAGCCGACGAGGGATTAATTCCCAAAATAAACAAACAGCTCATACAGCTCTATATCAAAAAAATGAACAACCCAATCAAAAACTGGGCAGAAGACCTAAATAGACACTTCTCCAAAGAAGGCATACAGATGGCCAACAGGCACATGAAAAGATGCTCAACATCGCTAATTATCAGAGAAATGCAAACCAAAACTACAATGAAGTATCACCTCATACTGATCAGAATGGCCATCATCAAAAAGTCTACAAATAATAAATGCTGGAGAGGGTGTGGAGAAAAGGGAACCCTCCTACACTGTTGGTGGGAATGTAAATTGGTGTAGCCACTCTGGAGAACAGTATGGAGGTTCCTTAAGAAACTAAAAATAGAATTAATCCCACTCCTGGACATATATCTGGAAAAGACAAAAACTCTAACTTGAAAAGATTCATGCACTCCAATGTTCATTGCAGCACTATTTATAATAACCAAGACATGAAAGCAACCTAAGTGTCCATTGACAGACAAATGGATAAAGAAGATGTGGTACATATATACAGTGAAATACTACTCGGCCATAAAAAAAGAATGAAGTAATGCCATTTTCAGCAACACGGATGGACCTAGAGATTATCATACTAAGTGAAGTAAGTCAGAGAAAGACAATTATCATATGATATCACTTATATGTGGAATCTTAAAAAATGATGAAAATGAACTTATTTACAAAACAGAAACAGACTCACAGACATAGAAAACAAACTTACTGTTACCAAAGGGGAAGGGGGTGGGGGAGGGATAAATCAGGATTTGGGGATTAACAGATACACACTACTATATGTAAAATAAACAGCAAAACCTACTGTATAGCACAGGGAACTATATTCAGTATCTTGTAATAGCCTAAAATGGAAAATAATATGAAAAAGAATAGGGGTGTGTGTGTGTGTGTGTGTGTGTGTGTGTGTGTATTTATATCTCTGAATCACTTTGCTGTACACTGGAAACTAACACAATATTGTAAATCAACTATATTTCAATAAAAACAAAAAAATCCAGATTTCTAAAGCAGAGACATTGAGTTGTGATCACTCACTTCATAAAAAGGATTATTCCTTTTGGGGAGACATACCGGCATGCTTTCCAACTTTGTTTCTTTTTAATTTGAAGGTCCATTTGGCT